CTCCTCACAGTGCAATCGGAGCACCTGTTGCACCAGCTAAATCCCTCGGGGTTGCAGTATGTGAACGGGAGCTGCAAAGGTGTTTGCGCTTCTGTAGGCTAGCACATCCCCGCGCAACTCCAATCAGCAGGGATCGAGCCTGGCCCGAGGAAGAAAACCTGCAAGGCCGCCCGCACCTTTGCTCAGGCTCTTCCGAACAAATGATGGGAGAAATCGTTTTCCAACACAGAATGACTGCAAGAGCGGGGACCGTGTTGCACGGTTCGAGCGCCTGGGAGCAAACATTAGCAAAAGGGACCCATGATTTACCAAGCTTATATTTAAAAAAGGAACAAATAAAAAGTTATTAGGGTTTGCTGCGCTCTCCAAAGAGGAAAACGTACGCCAGCCTCCAGGAAGGCCCCTCGCCTTTCCATAGGTTGACTTCTTTTTTAATTTAAGGACACTACTGCTGACATTTAGTCCTTGGAGGAGGTATTTTGTACTCGCTTCACATATGCCGAGCTGAATGTAAGAGGAGTTTTTTTCCTTATAGCACTATTAAAGTGTAATTTGGTAGCCAGCCCTTCGAATAGGCTGTGGGTAGGTTTATTGTATTTCACGGTTTCTTTGCCATGAATAAGAGCCATTCTTTTGCTTTACTGAAAAACAGGAGCATGGAAGGTAACAGAACCCAAGCCTTGATGTTAAAGGCAATCTGATACAGGTCTATAAAATAAAAAAAACAGGGGGAGGAAGGTAAATTAATTTCTGCCGGAGAGGGCAAACACACAGGCTCGAGACAAGCGTCTCTTCTGGTCAAAATGTATTGCACGGTGGACGATCTCAAGGCCAGCTATAGAGATTTAGGCTGGCAGGGGGGTGAAATCAAGGCCTGCTGCGAATGAGGAATTTCTTCTGCTGAACTGAAAAGCAGACAACATCGAAAAAGCAATGACATGTACGGTCTTGTGTGTCTGAGTCACTGCAGTGGCCCTCTGCAAAGTTAATAAGATCAGCGATGAAGCAGTGAGTAACTCAAGAGTAAACTGTCAAACAGTTACCAATTTAATTTGATAGTCTGGGCATTGTAAGGGAGATTCAGTGGCTGCTTGAGTACAATGAGGCGCTTAATGGCCGAGAGTACATCATTTTTGCTCGGTAAACTGTGTGTCAAACTCGAGACACAAATAGATTTTCGCTAGCCAGCTCAGCGCTTGTATAAACATTTCTTATGACTAGAGCGGCGGCGCATTATAGCTCCGAGAAAGCCCGTGGCCAGGGCAAGGGCCGGACACGCTCAAAGTGCACGCCCGCAGAGAAAGGAGGACGTCGAACCGTTCTTCGGTGAAGAATATCCCCAGCTTTAATGTTGCCGGTTGTAGCCGTGCTGGTCTAAGGACACAAGCAGACAAGGTTCTTGGGGTAAATGCGGTATCTTTTATTAGGAGTTGGAAACATGGTTCTCTGCAAGCTTTCGGGTACAACCACAAAAGAGTTTGTACCCCCAAACTTGCAGAGAACAATGTTTCCAACTCTTGAGTTGGCCGATAAAAGATATCACATTTACCCCAAGAACCTCGTCTGCAAATGCGATACCTTTTACGACACCAACTCCAGAGCTGGAAACATTGTTCTTTGCAAGCTTTCGGGAACCACCACAAAAGAGTTTGTACCCAAAAGCTTGCAAAGAACAATTTTGCCAACTCCTAATAAAAGAGATCACGTTTACACCAAGAACCTCGTCTGCCCAGCTTTAACGACCTAAATGCACCTGCTTACGGGTTCCACTCCCCAAAAATGAACCGGCGACGTCTGATCGTCTGCGGAGGCCAAAGCCTTAACCCTAACCTTGAGAAACGTTGCTTCGTGGCTCTTAATGGTTCGAACTGACAATGCGCCGATACGAACAGACGCTCCCCAGCAGTTTCTCAGCCTTTCAACAGGACTGCGTAGGCGTTGAATTCTGAAGCTAATCACCTTAGCAACGGCTCTAAACATATGTGCAGTGACATCAGCTGATTTTTGAAAGCTGTAAATAGAGGATAATAGCACGAAAAAAATTCTGGATTCAAGCCAAGACCTGAAAAACCATACTATTAAGACACTGCCTGTAATTCGATGTATGCAAACTTGTTTGTATCCCCCCCACCCCAAAATCGGTATAATTATACACCTAACAACAATTAACGCATAACGCGGTTGGCTAACTGTCCTTGTGCAACTTGCTCACGGTTTTAAGAAATAGCCCGAAAGAGCGTGGATTTGGGAGAAACCCGCTGCTTCCAAACGAGACGGGATCTGGAAGCAGTGCCGGGAAACAGAAAACAGGCTGAAAGGAAAAATGGTACAACACACAGCCTTGCACACCTAACAGGGTACAACACACAGCCTTGCACACCTAAAATGGTACAAACACAGAGCCTTGCACACTTAAAATGGGCGAGTAACACCCTTGCTTCCAGATAAAAGGTAGGCCAGTTGCAAATGCACAATCATCTTGTGCAACGAGGCTTTTGGGGGCATTGGTGAATTTTGCCGTGCTGACTAACGCACGCTGGACTCCGTGGCTGTTTATCAGTTATGGCAAAAGTCAGCTTGGAGAGCAGATTAACACGACGGGCTGCTCTGGGCACCCAGCAAGGAGCCCAGCAAAAATAAGTAGGATGAACTCATTCGGAGAAGGCCAGGCTGGCAGGCAGACAGCTTGAAAGGCTCGCACCGACCAGAAGTACTTATGTTTGGGACCTCGGTCATTAAGATCTTTAACTGTCAATTTAGAGAGTCTTCCACTCGCCCACCAGAGTAAGGCACGCAGACAATATCCTTTTTGTTTTCCCTGCTGTATTTTGACCCATATTTCTAAAATTTATGCTGAAGACCGCGTGCCCTGGCCGGCTGAAACAAGCCCCCGCAGTGCCTCCGTGTATGGAGCTGGCATCCTGAGAGGGAGCCAGAGAAGAGGGGAGAAATGGACTTAATAGGATTTTCAAATGTCAAAAAATATCTTTAGCAGCCCCATTTGCGCAGCGCCTTAGTACTCACTGAACTTGAAAGCGAAATTTGCTGTGCAAAGAACACAGCTCGCATGCTAAATGGACCCGAGAAACAGCGCTGCTACAGCACAAAACCGTCACACGCATTCACTCCTTCTCCTAGCAATTAACCCTCAAGAACCTCGCTGCTCCCTCCCCTGCAATTGCAGAAGAGACCCAGGAAGGAAGATGCGTGTTGCTCTGCAATTTGGATGTATTATTCATCTTTGAAGAAACTAGCTCCAGGAAAAGGTGTGCAACAGTCCCCGCTACCCGCCAAGGATCCCTTTACAAAGCATCTCGCCCTGGGAGCATTTTTAAAGGAGATGGTAAAAAGCCAAAAAACAAAAAATAAAAGCACCTTGGGTGAAAGAAGGGGCTTGCTCATAGCGCCTCTTCCCGCGGCGTGCGGTGTCATCTGCTCCGCACCAGCGGCCGAACAACCCAGAGCTGGAAGCTTTTCAGAGGCGCTGTGTGCAGGCCCTGATGCTACAGCCCTGGCTCGTGAAAATACCTCCACAGAAACAGAGCCCACGAGCTTGCCGGCTGGATCCGGAGAGACGTGCAGACAACTGAACACAGGCAAGAAGGCAGGGCTTTTTTGTTTCATCGTTTTGTTCATTCAAATGAGACCGCAACAGCCCCAAGAAAGAGGCCGTGTGCTGAGAAGATCACCTATGCTGACCATTTAGCATTCGTGTCGCATGTGAAAGTGCTCTCTCTAAAACCCTGCAGATCTTGTCCTCTACCGAGAAGATCTGCTAAGTCCCAGGGAGTTATCGAAGATTTGAAGGTCAGGTGGAGGCAGAAGTCTATGAGAAACCGGCCTTAATCAGGGAAAGGCAACTCTCTGGTTCCTGCCTCTGAATCTGAAGCGGGTGTTCGTGCCCGAAAGCTTGCAAAGAAGAATTTTTCCAACTATCTGAGTTGGTCTAATAAAACTAATCAGATGTACCCAAAGGACCGTGTCTGCCTATGTCCTTAGACAAACACGGCTACAACCCACCTCTGAATCTCGCACGCTCACTGACTGATCTAAAGGGTGCCTGGATTACTCCCCATACACTTCACACAGGGGAAAGGGATGGCCCTCCGGCATGGCACCGTCTACTCTGGCTGGGATGATGTAGTTGGGCTGGTCCTGCTTTAAGGACTAGATGTGACCTTCCCACCCAAATTTTCCATGATTCGCTGATCTGCACAGGGAAAGCTGTGGTGACCCAGTGTTTCTGATGCCTCTACAAATTCGGAGTCTCTTGAAAACTGTTGTGCCTCATGATGGCTCGGGGTCGGACTAGTAGTGCAGACCTGGGGTCATTTCACCTGACCCCAGGTATCTTTCCTGCTTGGTGCAGGGGGCTGGACCCAACGATCTTCTGAGGTCCCTTCTGGCCTTGCAATCTAGGAAACAGCGTCCCAAAAGAGAAGACGGCGTTCGAGTGGTCCAGGAATGATGCGAGGGGCCAGAATTTCTCTGGGTGATCTCTTTTATTGGACCAACTTCCTAGCTGGGATGGAGTCAGAGGAGCTTTCAAGTGCAAGATGCTCTTCTTTAGGTCTTGCAGCGTGTTGGACTCGAAAGCTTGTCTAACTCCATCCCAACTATGCAGTTGATCCAATAAAAGAGATCACCCAGAGAAATTCTGGCCCCTCGCATAATTGCTGACCAACAGACTTCCCATATCCCTGAAGAAGGGTGTTTGTGCCCAAAAGCTTGCAAAGAACAATTTTACTGACTATTCAGTTGGTCTAATAAAAGAGATCATGTCTACCCAAAGAACCTTGTCTATCCCAACTATGCAGCTGGTCAAACTGAAAGACATCACCCAAAGAAATCCTTGCCTCTGCCTAGAGAGAAGGGAATTGTGACATTTTCTAGATCTTCCCCTACTTTTTTGCCCTTGTCCAGGGTTCAAACAATTGTACTATGTTAAAAATGATTAACTCAGGGGCGTTAGTTGGAGCACACGTGCTGCAGGAGAAGACAAAGCGCCTGGGCAGCATCAGGAAACGCTGCAGTCACCAAGCCCGAGCAACACCGAATGATCGCACGTCTGAGGCCAGAGATCAGCAGATTTCTGGAAGGTCTGTCTGGCTTTGCACATTATTGTCCCCGGTCTGCTCCAGGTCAGGGGCCGAAGAGGGAGGGGGAGGAGATCTTTTTGCAAGTTCTGCAAAAAAAAAAAAAAGCAGAGCTTTTCCTTTAAGACCCATTGCATCTAAGAGAGAAACTCCAAGTGCTTGCTCTGATCTGAAAATCTGTGCCTCATTGGGGCATCATTAACTGTGCAAGCATGGGTCGTTGTGTCGAGATTATCCTCCCTCCCCAGGCCAAAAATAAGTGATTTGGACACTCGGCAGCTCTGAAACCCACCAGCGTAAGGAGAGTTTTCTTGGAAGCTGCTCTGCCGCTGGAGGGACTGAGATAGCGGTGCGCATTTTTGGTCTTTGATCAAGGGAGGTGCCGAGATGCAGGCTTCCCTCCTCTCCTCCCCATGAATGCTGGGGTCCAAACCCCCCAGGAAAAAGCTTCTTAGGTTCCCACATGCAGGAGCTGATGCAGACGCTCCGATGTCGCAAGGGGATGGGGTAGAGCTGGCAGTGCCAATCTGGGACCGTTTAGCAAAGGGGGCTCAAGGCAAAGCATCCTCCAGAGCAAGCTGTTTTTCTCCGGGAAACATCGGAGGCGTTTATATTGCTCCGCAGCTCCTGAGCTCAGCTTTCCAGGGGGACCCAACAGTTTAGAAACATTTCAGTTATTGCCCCATAAACCCATTAGTATTTCCAGACAGTTTGCATCCGAGCATGCTACTGATTCCTTGGGAATACCTTTGTAGGAAATGCTCCAAGTCACAGGGAGGCACTGGGGGGCTAAAGGGAACGAGTACAGTGCCGGGAGTCCCAGTCCTGACCGTGGCCAAGCTGCATGATGAGAACTTCAGTGCTCTCAGGGCTTAATTTCTGCTCAGTGCCCAGCAACTTTTGCCCACGGGACTTGGGGGGAGAGGGAGGGAAGTCCGGGAAGGGCGTCATGCTAGCAGCCTAGGCACACACCGAGGACATGCACACGGGACTGCCCGTGCCCTATGCCAACCCCGAGACTGGAAGAGGATGGAAAGGCACGGTCCACCTCTCTCAGGTCTCTTGTGGCTTCTTTGCTCACAAGTGCACAGCTCAGTGCAGGGGGCCAGAAGCGATGGCTGCGGGTGCAGAGGCACGCCTTGCACATGGTGTGAGCCGAAGACGCTAGTACCAGCCCAGGTGCCTGGTCCAGAGGATGACAGGCCAATGGAGCACATGCAGGATGACCAAGAGGATGCAACTTCACAGGACCCAGCAAAGCAAGAGAGTCTGCAAGTCGTGCCTGGTCTGCGCCAGCTCTGGCTAAGCCGCGGGTTCAATGCATTTCCAGAGCTGCAGCCAGCGCAAAGGGACAGCGGGACAGGTATGATTTTAAGCGTAGGCAAACCTGTGGTGCAGGGGATGCGGGATGTGTGTGCAAGTGGAGAGGCGCTGCATTCGTGCTGTGCATTGCTGGCTACCCGACACTACAGGTAGATAAAAATATTCCAAAGTTTTGAAGGGCCAACACCCCTGTGACCTTTGGGGGAGCTTCAGCCTGAGTCCCTTGGGCTTCCTCTTCTGAAAGGCTTCACAGGAATGTTGTAATTCAAGCACTGGCCTCTCCCCCCAAGGAGCCTGGCTCCGGTCAGGGGGAGGGGAGAGGAGTTTGGGATGAAGTAAGCGGCTATGCACGTGAGTTTGGAGGCCCTTTAAAGGAAGCTGCTTTTAGGTCAGGAGTCATCTGGAGCCCTATTACCCAGGAGCAGATATAAACAGAGTCTGCAACAGGCAGGACCACAGCCAGGCTTGCAAACCTCCTTTGGGACGTCCCTCCAGCCACGGGCATGGAGATGAGCAACACTCACGCTGTGCTCGCTGCATGTTCCACAAGAGAGGACCGGACCTCTGCTCCAGTTCAACCCGCGGGCCTCAACCATCAGCCCCTCTCTTCTCAGGTATTTACACCTTTAAAAGCAACTAAGCACAAAATAGCATTCAAGCCGTCTCAGCAGCCCCTGGGGAGCTAGCTCAGATGTGCTCTGGCATTAACAGCATCATGGGACAGGTAAGGCAGTCACCCATGATTTATCGCACTATCTCCCCATCTCATCAGGTAGCTAAATGGGCAGTCATCCTAATCCACTCTAAGGCGCTTAGGCTTTTCCTTGGTGCAATGTGATGCATGCTAAACCTCCACGCTCCCTTCCTGGGTGAGAAGCAGTCGCTCGGTTTGCTGCATGGAAGGACCCGAGCGTTTTCAGCTCGAGTCCCACTGAAGCCGAGTTGCACGTGAAGCTCCCTGCCATCCCCAACACATATGCCTATGTCCTTGCAAGGTTTGCATATGGTTCTCTGTAAGGAAACTATGAGAGACAGGGCCCTAATCACCTCTAACCTGCTCATTCATGCCTCAAGCGCCCAGAGGGATCGGGCACACTGCTGGAGGAAAGGGGCATCAGTAGGTATCGAGCAGAGGAGTGAAGGGCACAGTCTCTGAATCAGAAGTGCCTGGACTCTAAATGCTGGGCAAGTGGGAGAGGAACAGTGGGGAAAAACCTCCGTCATGCCCAGTTCCCTCTGCCCTTCAGCATCCGCCCCCTGCCCGCATGACACAGGGTGCTCAGCCAGTACATGGCAGTTTTTCTGTTCTGATGACCATCCTCGGTCCCGCTTGTTCAGCACCAAGGCCTGTTTGTCCCAAAGCTCCCGGGAGCTGCGGTGCACAGCAGCAGCGGGGTTTTAGCAGAATCCACCTGTTTTTTCCAACTGAGGCACCCTCCTGATACCACAACACGCACAGTCATTTCAGCAGAGCTACAGGTTGCACATGCAGGGAGCTAAACCCCAGCAGCATGCTCAGGATGCATCTCCCAGACATTCCCCAGGGTCACGGCGTCCAGGGGTGACCTGGTGAGAGTGACAGGCCAGTGGCCTTATAACCCTGCTGTTGTCCAGCCCTGCTTGGAGCAGCTGGCGGGGAGGGCAGTGAATGCAGCATCTGGGACAGGAGGGAGGTGAAAGCAGCATCAGGGCTTCCAAGACAGCCCTGCTCGGAAGCCAGAGACTGGGGCCCGAGATGCTTCTGCTGCCTTAACATGGCTATTTTATTTTCACGCTGAACAAGGCCTCAGCCACCATCTTCCTGGAAGCTCATCACTGTCTGGAGGTGTCCGGTCATTCCCCCCCACCACGTACACCTGACTCCCCTCCAGCTCGGCGTCTCCACAGGTAAACAGCAGGTGATGCTACCACACGATGCGCTAGCTCTGCACGCTGGCTCCACCAGCCTCGCACTCTGTAGCCGGGGAGAACTGCTGCGGTTGCCCCACGTTGTTCACTCTGCTTGCATAAACGCTTCACTTGTCTCCTTTACGCTCCTCAGACAGGGCTGATCCTGCCTTGAGCAGAGGACCGGACTAGACGTGACCTTGTGAGGCCCCTTCCAGCCCTGCTGTGTTAGGACTCTGCTCTTTGACGGCAGGCTTGCAGCGCGATGGGGAGATGCGAGTGCTGAGCCGGCCTCCACGTCGCTAGCTCCAGGACAGCAGCATGGTACCCATGGCAGGGTCCTGCATGGGCAAACCCAGCCCTGCTGAAGCAGCCACAGCTACCCCATTATCAGTGCGGCACAGCTACAAGGGTGCACTTGGCCACGCTGCACGCACACCTGCAATGGCAATGGGGACACACGCAACAGTGAATGCACAAATCCTGCCTATTCACTCCGCAATGGATCCTGCTTCCTTTATTTGTAAGCCAAAGTATTTACAAGGCCCTATTACTCCTAAACCCTTTGGCTTCCAGCAGCTCATCCTGCATTTCAGGACCCTGCCACTTGCTTGGACTGCAGGCTCTTTGGGGCAGCGAGCACTTCTCTCTGTGCATGAGGACACAGCACAGGGGCCCATGCTCCAGCCTGGGTCCCCTGGGCATCGCCATCCTAGAAAGGTGAAATGCCTACACACCTATCTGCTACCTAGCCCTGACCTGCTTCACCCCATCCCCTCCTGGAAACCTTCCAGTACCTGCTCTTTACTTCCAACAGCTTGCGTGGCCTCCTGTGAGGGTATAGGGGCACTCTGTCATCCCACTGTCTTTCTGGGCAGAGCTGAAGTCAGCTGTCCATCAAGTGGTGTCCTGTAGGACTGCTCTGCCGGGGGGGGACACGACCCTGTGGGTGAAGGACAAGGCTGTCCAGACCCGGGCTGTCTTGCCCTACTTGCTGTGCGACGCTGGGCATTTCGTTCCCCCAGGAATGCTGCCGCTGCGTTCATTCACTAATGCACGTAAGCCCAGATTCTCATCTGGAAATGGAGATCACAAAGCAGTCACGCACATGACCTTGCAGCATCTACACACGTGATTTTTATCCACTGCAATCCTCAAACCCCTGCTCTTAAATACCTCTTAGCCTAGGACTGCATTGCTCCCAGCTCTCTCCCTTCCCATCGCACTGACGGCCTCAATCATTTCTTCTGCATCGATCAGTAACCTGGTTTGCTTTCTCCTACTTGCATTCTCCGCATGGGCTACTCATCACTCACTTCCAGGGACAGAGTCAGCTTGAAATCCACTGCTTTCTAGACCGCTGTCTGTAGCAGCCCCTGGTGCTGCACCTGCATTTTGGGGCCTCTGTGGTTTTACAATCCTGTTTTCCATCCCTTTCAAGGTCTCTCTCCTTCCCACGACAGACGTGCGCCAACGGGGAGGGTCCGAGGGATGCAAGAAAGGTCTCTGGACATGCAGTGCCAAAAGCACCCGGTGCAGTCCCTCAGGGGACTCCCCTCCTCTTGCCACGGAGGCGAGGGGCTGGGGTGGCGCGGGCGCTAAGGCACATGGTTAACAGCCCGGGGCTCCCAAACATGAAGCCGTAGCATGGCCTGGCAAAAAATCTGCGAATTCTGCTAAATACCTTGTCACAAGGATGCAGGAAAGGACTGCAGAGGCTGCTTGGGAAAGGCAAGAGCTGAGCAGCAGGCCCAGGGAAGCAGCCCTACGGCTGAGTTCAGGCTCAGGGTTTCTTCCAAACCTCAGAAATCTGCATGCTCTTTGGGATGTGAAAACGCACATCCCGCTGAATCAACCACTTTGGGTACTACTTCCCAGGTGGGTCCATGTACTGGTGTGTACTGGGAAGGGGCAGAAGGCGGCCCCCAAAAGTTGGGAATAACTCAGCACACCCATCTGCTTATCCTTCCCACAGTCCCAGAGAGTCAAGGCATTGTCACCTGTCTACTCCATGAGTGAATTTGGACCTAAAATACACCTTACAAATTTCAAAATGCCAATTCGGGTCAAAAGTCCTAGCTGGAAAGACTCGCGCTGGATATCCACACACTGGGGCTGTTGGATGGCGTTTAAAAAGGCCATGTGGCTAAGCCAACTGCAGTTGGATGGCGTTTAAAAAGGCCATGTGGCTAGGCCCACTGCCCCAACCACTTTTTTTTTTCTTTTTTTTGCATAATACAAAATTTATTTTACCATATGTAAAATTCATTTGTGTAGTTGCACACCCTGGTAGACTTGAATGGGCAAAGGAGTATTTCAACTCCCAGTGCAATTTATTATTTAAAAGCAGTAAAATTACATTGCTGATAAGAGAGCACAGACTGGAGAGAAGCAATGATGTAATGGGTAATAGTACTCCGGTTGCTGTATGAAACACTCTGTACATTAGCGTGTTGGCTAGGGTGGTTGCTCCTATCAATTATTTATAGTCTGCTGGCACACAGCCTGGATAGGGTCACATCGCTGAAAGCTAACTTTATCTTCATTGTTCCCAGCCTCCTGCCCAGCTGTCACTCTGTTCACTAATTTAATACACTCTCAGAGCACTGGAAAAGGACGCAAGATTTTTGTTATATTCTGTCCCCCTCCGAGCCGAAAGATTTATGTATGCATTTTTGCTGCTAATTGAAGGGTTTTTAACAGAAAGAAGTATTTATCTTGCTTAAATCAGCAAGTTATTCTCTCTTTTTTCTTTTTTTCTTTTTTTTTTTTTGAGAGAGAGAGATCCCGGCACAATCCCTGAGGTCACTGCCCTGGCAGCTCCAGAGCTGCCGTCTTCTCCAGACGGGTCCTTTCGCGTGCGGCCTACTTCAGCATCACTGAAATGGTGGCTGCGAGTCAGCTGTGCTGCAGAGGTGGACCGTGCCTGTTAAACACCGTGCCAGATGAAGGGCAGACTGCATTGCACATTCAGTTTCTTTCATATCACAGCAAAAACTATTCAATTATTCATGTGAGCAGGGTCTGGTGGGGAAGAAGGGAGAGCTCTGCAGGTGTCCAGCACAACCAGAGCTCCTGGATAATATTTCTGCTTCAGTCCACAAATCCAGAAATTCAGAAGTGAGGTTTAACTCCTCTGAATGTCACTGCAGGGGGAAGAGCTGTACAATGCCGAGGATGACACTCTGCAGGTTAGAGCCCTGGCCTTACCGTGCACGAATACATGGACACAATATTCATTTAAGACCGTTAAATCCCGTATCCCTTTAGAGGTAAAATGGGCCATTCATCTGAATCCACTGCAAGTCTCTGTAGGGCTTGTTTTCATTCACTTGAAAGATGGAGTTTCTTGATTAGTCATGAAGTCTAAATTGGATTTCTATCCCTATTGAGATGATATAACTGTCCATAAATTTGCTGGGGAGGGGGGAGGAAGGGGAAGGATAGTGTAGCTGAACACAAGTCGTAACAGAAAGCCCTGAAATAAAGAGAGATGCAAGTTAACACTCACTCCTGAAAACTTTTTACTTATTACAAGTAATGCTTGGGAAGGCTGCGGTGCGGGGCTGGATTTCTCATCAAGGCACTGATCACCTTATCCGTTATAGATTTCACAGATGTTTAGGGCTGGACGGGACCTCAGCAGATCATCGAGCTCGACCCCCCGCCCCTGCCAGTCTACAAGGCAAAGGACAAGGCTTACCCCGGTAGCTTTTCAAGACCTGAGACATGCTACTTAAACTAACTGTTAGCCTGGCTCAATATCTACATTAAAAAAAGCCATCTGACTCCTTCCTGCCAGCTGTTTCAGGGCCTCTACCACTAGCCATATAGATGCTACATTAGAAAATCCCCCTTGTTAAGACAGGTGTCACGAGGTGAGCTTTTTTTGCCCCATTTCATAATTACCTGATCATCCTAACATGCCTATTAGTTCACTGAATGATAGACTCGTAGAAAATGAGGGCGGGAAGGGAGCTCAGGAGGGCACATCTAGTCCAACCCCTGCTCAAAGCAGGACCAGCCCCAGCTGCATCACCCCAGCCAAGGCTTTGTCTACCCGGGTCTTCAAAACCTGCAAGGACGGAGACTGCACCACCTCTCTGGGGAACCTGTTCCAGTGCTTCACCACCCTCCTCGTGAGACAGTTTTTCCTAATATCCAACCTCAACTTCCCTTGCTGCAATGTGAGCCCATTGCTCCTTGTCCTGCCATCTGCCCCAACTGAGAACAGCCCAGCTCCGTCCTCTTTGCAGCCCCGCGCAGGGAGGTGAAGGCTGCTGTTCAATCCCCCTCGGTCTTCTCTTCTGCAGATTAAATAGGCCCAATTCCCTCAGCCTTATTTATTCTGGAGAAGAGAAGAAAAAAGCTCACCTTGTTACACAAGATGGATTTCCAGTGTAGCACTGACACCAAACCATCCTCCTTGGGGTTTAATTCTGATTCTGAAATCAAGGAAAGGTATTTTTCAGGGCTCCCCCTTCTCCGAAAGGTCTAAAACTGAGGTTGGTTGCATTTTTTTATAACTTAATAAACTGGCCGATATCATATCAAGTACTGAGCCATATACGGATGTTATCTGGGCAAATAAAGAAAAAGATTCTGATAGTCATAGAGCACAGTCAACCTCATTAAAAAGCCTGCATCTGCACAAAAAGGAAGCTGCCTTTGAAAATATACAGGCGCAAGAGGAAGCAAGCTCATTATTTATGTGACAAAAACAAGAGGCTCGTGTAATAAACAGCCGAAAGACCTCTGGCTTCAGCAGAGATGTGATTTCCAGCCGTTATTGTGACAAGGGCTGGAAACCTGGCATTGCATAACTGCAATTATTTTGAGGGCCCTTTCGCAAGACGTTGCGGTGGGCAGAACTTTTATCCAAAAGAGATTTCAATTTTGTGTCTAGCGTCGCCCAAGGAAAACAAACACGCCAGCAGGAGGACCAGCCCCAGTCGCATCCACACCCGCTCGCTGGGCAGGAAAAGGAAGTTTCGCCATGCGCCGCTTGCTCAGCCCTTTCCAATCAGCCCCGTGCTTCAGCAGCTCCAGGCCAGGCCCCGGAGCCAACCAGCAGTAACTCGGGGAAGACGGATTTAAAAGCCAAGTCGTTTTCACGTCCATGAGATCCGGGAAAAAATGAGACCCAAAGTCATGAACCTTCAAGCAGAGCAAAAGAGCAGCGGACATTTATTAGGGAAGTGATTCTTCCCCTCTGCTCGGCACCGGGGAGGCCACATCTGGAGTCCTGTGTCCGGTTGTGGGCCCCCAACACAGAAAGGATGTGGACAAGTTGGAGAGAGTCCAGGAAATGGTTTGGGGGCTGGGGGACGTGACTGGTGAGGAGAGGTGAGGGAACCGGGCTGATTGAGTCTGCAGAAGAGAAGACCGAGGGGGATTGAATAGCAGCCTTCACCTCCCTGCGGGGGGGCTGCAAAGAGGACGGAGCTGGGCTGGTCTCAGTGAGGGCAGATGGCAGGACAAGGAGCAATGGGCTCCAGCTGCAGCAAGGGAAGGTGAGGTTAGAGATTAGGAAAAACACTCTCTCTAGGAGGGTGGTGAAGCACTGGACCAGGTTACCCAGAGAGGGGGTGCAGTCTCCATCCTTGGAGGTGCTGAAGACCCAGGTATACAAAGCCCTGGCTGGGATGATGGAGTTGGGGCTGGTCCGACTTTGAGCAGGGGTTGGACTAGACATGACTTCCTGAGGGCCCTACCCGCCTTAACTTCCTAGGAGTCTGATTAGTTTCAAAAAGCAAGCAAACCTGCTGGAGGTGTCTCTGGGCAGAGAGATACACCCGAAGAAACGACCGAAGGAAAGGTCAGACCCGCCGAAGCTCGAGCAGGAGCAGCAGGAAAGCAACTGAAAATCGATGGGGCCTGGCGATACCAGCCTGCGTAGTAAGAATGGAGGTGGAGACAACAGGCTGAACACAGCAATTCGGCGGAGAGCTGCGTCCTGGCAGCGGCGAAGGCAGAGGGGGCCGTGGCTCCGACACACGAGCTCAATGAGGCAGGAGAAAACACACGCGGCATTCGGGGACTGCTGCCAGTCGTGAGGAAGTGGACCTCTGTTGAAGAGCCATAACTCTCCGTCTCTCAACCCGTCCAGGCCGGGGACCGTTCCTACCGCTCCGCTCCCTTCGCGCACATCACTTCAGTGGCTGCTGCCCGTAAAACTTCTTGAAGCAGAAGCCAGAGAAACAGGCCACCGGAGCAGGGGAATCCAGCTTTGCAACCTACTGGCCGCCGAAATCCCGGTACGAAGCAGGGAATCACTGGAAGCTGCGCTCACAGCACGACGGGACTGAACGGCCCACTATCTCCTGACGAACGGGGCTAAAAAGCCGTTGTCAGGTGAATATAAAGATGTTTTCTAGGACTAGAAACGTCTTTGCAAAGACCGCATGCTGGGCATGATGCCTGCAACAGATGCCGAGCACTGCGATGGGGTCTGGGACAGAAGGGTAGGGGCTCTGCTTTTCTTTCCTCAAAACGGTGTGGAAAACCAACCTTAAGAAAAATCAAGTTGCCTTGGATAGAAGAGCTTCACGGTGCAGTGCGATGTTCAGACTTGACTAGCAATTCAGGTGTTGTGCCTTTGTGACCTCCTCACCCACCCACCCACTCCCCCCCCCCCCCCCCCCCCCCGCCGGGCCTGCGACCGCACGCCAGGCCGGCACGCTTCTCCGTTTTCCAGCCGTTCGCTCGCTGCAGCCACCAAGTAAAACTCGTTAAGCCTGTTAGGAAAGGAGCCGCCGGTCCCAATCAGGGCACTTGCCAACCGAGGATTCCTGGCTCCTCGGAGGGCTGCGTGACAGAATACCTCTGGATCCTCGTTATCTCCATCGTTAATGGTGTGGGTTCATAGCTACGCACCTGCTAAATGGGAAAGACGTGCTGCTGCAACGTCAAGGTTGTGAATTCAGCCCTGAGTATGGCAATGACAGAGACTTAGAAACATAGACCATGAGGGTTGGGAGGGACCTGAGGAGGTCACATCTAATGCAACCCCCTGCTCCAAGCAGGACCAGCAGCCCCAGCTACATCATCCCAGCCAAGGCTTCTACCTAGGTCTTAGAAACCTCCAAGGACAGAGACTGCACCACCTCTGGGTGACCCATTCCAGGGCTTCACCACCCTCCTAGGGAGAAAGTTTTCCTAATATCCAACCTCAACTTCCCTTGCTGCAGCTGGAGCCCATTGCTCCTTGTCCTGCCGTCCGCCCACACTGAGACCAGCCCAGCTCCGTCCTCTTTGCAGCCCCCGGCAGGGAGGTGAAGGCTTCCAGCTCACAAACTGACCCACATAGTTAGGGAGATGCATCTTTAAACAGCCTCCTTGGGGATAAGAGCTTGTGAGGAGCTAATGTTGCAAAAGCAAGCTTCCCATATGTCCCCGATTCTTCCCCGAGTTCACAACCTTACAGAAAAATTGCACTTATCTAGGCCCTCAGATGGCATTCAGCACCTCAGTACGAGCATCATTATCGCTGCATCTAATTACAAGGATAACTAAATTACTGACAAATTTTGATCTTAAATAAAACCCAACCCAAACAAAAGAAAGGCACTGCAATCCGGACGGTTCCAGGAGGCAGGTTAGGACAAAGACAGTTCAGATCTCACTGGGAATAACTTGAAGTAAAGTATCTAAAAAGCTTTGGTTAAATGAACTGTCAGCTCAGTCCCCTCAAATCAGCCAGAAACATTATCTTCATTATGGATTTGCCTTAAAACAACTTGGAAACCCATTTCCAGCGGTTTCTAATGGAACCTGGGCTTTCTCCGTCCTAATCTGCCTCGTGAGTTGGAGGCTCCTGCGAGGAAATACAATACCGTATCATTAAAATGGCAGCTGTCAGACATACAACAGCCCCATTCATTGACTGGAGATAGTGAAACAGTGATAGGTGTTTCCAAGGGCTGCGCTGAAAGGCTCTTTTGCAATTAGATGGAAGGAGGAGAACGCTGCGGTGAAGACGGCCTCGCGGGTACCTGCCGATAATGCTGCGGGTCTCCTGCGAGGCTGGATTCGAGCAAAGCCCAGGGACGCCACAAGACGTCAGCTTGGGCAGATGGCGTGTTCCTCCAGCAGCGCAAAGCGGGGCACGGGGAGCTGCGCAAGGGCACTGCCCGCCGGGCTGCAGGTGCACGTCCTTTCAGTCGCACCGGTTGCAAGACCTGGGACGATGCTGCCTAGGACTCCCTGCTTCCCACGGCAGAGCCTCGCCGCCCTGCTCCTCGCATGCAACAGGCTCAGCACCGAGCCAGAGCATACCGAGCACTGCCAGGCTTTCACCTGAAGTGCGCCAAGGGTCTTCTGGGGGCACGGGCGTTAGCCCTAGCGTATGGCAGGGGTGGGGGGCATAAGGGGCCAAAAGGAAGTCCAGTGAGCAGCAGGAGAGGAGGCAGAAGCCCATGCTAGCAGTTCCCAGGGCTAACAAGGAGACGACTGCTCCCTTTCCTTCCCCTCTGGCAT